AAGCAGGCCTGAACTCACAGCGATTTTCCTGCCTCAGCCTCCCAAATGCTGGGATTACAGGCATGAGCCACCATGCTCAGTGCTGTAGTTTTAGAAAAGCAACAGATCCCAAATCCAGATACAACAGAGGCATTGGTGGTATAGTATAGTTAGCATAGCTGCCTTCCAAATCCAGATGTAGTGAAATCTTTTGAACTCTTTATACTGAGAGTACTAAAGAAGGGAAAGCTCCTTTGATTTAAAATGTGTCAATCATGTACACATTAATGAAAAATTAATAAAAGGGACTTTTTTTCCTAAAGCATATAAATTGGTATGCTCTAGAATATAAACTGGGTCTGATCTAATTTTTATTTTTTTGTTTTTTAGGTATATAAAAAAATCTCATTTCTTAAAAAACTAGGATTAGCAGTCCCATTCAACCCAGCTATTCCCCTTCTGGTTATCTTCCCAGAAGAATTAAAAACGTCATACCACAGCAGTACATGCTCACCCATATTTATAGCAGTTTAGTTTGTAATAGCTAAATCTTGAAAGCAACCCAAATGCCCATCAACAAAGGAATGGATAAAAAAGATTTTTTTATATATATAATGGAGTGCTCCTCAGCCATAAAGAAAGGTAAACTTGAAACTTTTATAGAAAAATGGATGCAATTTGAGACCGTATTCGTAAGTGAAGTAAACCAGCCCCACAAATGTAAATATCGTATCATCTCACTAGTGTGAGTGAAACAGTAAACAAGATCCAAAAGGTACAGTAGATATTATGAATAGGGAAGAAACTGATCAAAAGAAAAGAAAAACTGATGGGAGAAAGGGGAAAGGAAAGGATAAAGGGGAAAAAATATATACATACACAAGACAGTTAAGGTGGTTATTCAGCTGGTTTCTCTTGGTTCATTGAGGGGAAAGTTTTGTGCTAGTAATTTTCTGGATAATGTTTTATATCTATATCTTATTTTCTGTGAACAACTAGTGAATATAACAATGCAAAATGTGTTGGATTATTGTTACTCTCCTACTAGCCTGATTCCATTTGATTTAATTTGATTTTTTTTTTGTTTTGTTTTGTTTTTTGAGATAGGGTCTCACTATGCAGTTCAGGCTGGACTTGAGCTCACTTTGTGAACTTTGTAGCCCAGGCTGGTCTCGAACTTGCAATGATCCTCCTGCCTCAGCCTTTCAAGTGCAGGGATTATAGGCATGTGCTACCATGCCTGGCTTTAGCCTGATGTATTTGTTTTTTTGTTTGTTTGTTTGTTTTTCCTGTACTGGGAATGGAACTCTCGCTTGCCAGGCAGGTGCTGTGCGGCTGAGCTAAATCCTTAGCCCCCTTAGCCTGATTTGAAACTCTGCTTTATTGTTATTTCTTGCTTTTTTCTAATTAAAATTTTCAGTAAATCTCATTATGTTGTTTTGTTTTTTGTGGTTTTTTTTTTGTCTTTTTGAGACAGGGTCTCACTATGCAATTCAGGCTGGCCTTGAGCTCGCTTTGTAACCCAGGCTAATCTTGAACATGCAATGATCCTCTTGCCTCAACCTCCCGAG